GAATCTCAACATTTTTTCAAAGACTTTTGCATGGCTTATTATGTATAAAAAATAGCTATTAATAATAAAAAGACGTTACATAAAAACAAAGCATATCGATTTTCGGGAACATCCACTTTTAATATCGCTCCTGTTTCCGAAGTTTTCTTGGGGGAAATTCTCATTCCCAATTCCGGCGGGAAACTGGGCGGAAAAAAATTCTTCCGACAAGACATTTCTACAATTAGGCATTTCGAAATATCTTTTTTTTTCAGATTATAGGTCTAATCTTTCTCTACACAACTGCATATTTCAATTAATACATCATATATATAAAGGATGTCATAACAGTCTGTATGAAAAGTTTACGTAAATATCTTTTATACATTTCAAGCGAATTAGTTGCTGTTTTTTTAAAATACGATGGTAGTATATTCTTTTAAGTTTTATTTCATATAATTTAGTTTAGGTCATATGTTCAAAATGATTATCATGAACTGAAATACATAAATCCATTTTTTCGGAATCTTCTCAAAAAAAATGCTGCAAAAAGTTTACTTTCGAATTAATTTATTTCTGTTATTGGTTTCGGATTTTGAATTCAAAGAAATGTTTATATATATAAGTTTTCACTGTATACTTACTGATAAGCTATTTTAATGTAAATAAAATTTTTCTGATTGTTAATATTTTCTAACATTCGTATCGAAATTTGAGAACTTCAATTCGATCTTATGAACCTTCTTCATAGAATTGTTGAACAAATTATACCTTGTATGGTTTCATCGTTAGATATTACTTTATAATTTAGTCTGCTACTGTTTATGGAATGAGTCAGGCTATTGCAACAGCTTGAATACTCGATAGTGGTACATTTTCAAAAGCGGTATGAATTTTGTCGATTTTCTCTTCTGTAATTCTCAAATATCTTTCAGATTGTTGTTCATTTACTATTATATTGATTTGAGAAAAACATTCCTAGTACAGCCTATGTTTGTAAGCTAAATTCGAATTGCAGTTTCTTTTCATAACGATAGATGACTTAAATTCGACTTTGAACAAAACTTTAAAGAATATACAATGGTATTTTTAAAAAAATATATAAATTGCTTGAGCTGTTTAAGCGTTATTCACGGAAACTTTCCACATCGACTGGTTGAGACACCATGCAGGCTTGTCATGAATATCATCGATGTACTAGGTGGGATCGAAACTATTCGACTATTGTGAACGAGATATATATAGATAGATGTTATGTAATCTATATCTCTTCAAAAGAGGAATGCTTATTTATGAATAAAAACATTGGTATATATATGTTTATAGCAAAGAATAGAAATAAAGGTCATCAAGGTCAAAAACATAGATGATGAAATTACATCAGATGAAACATATATCACGAACAAAAGAGGATAATAGAAAAGTAAAGAGATGATATCGAAAGTGATGTATGTATACAAGCGACTTCGATTAAGTCACTTAACAACTATTCTTTAGTATCACGCTTGTATTTTTGACATTCAACTACAAATTAATGCAAATTAAATAAATCTGTAAATTTCTCTTTATAAAATACAATACTGAATTATAGTATGATATATGTTGATATTCTTTTGAGATTAATACAATTCAAATTCTATAATATTCGAGTTGTTCATAGTCTTGTTTTTATTGTTTGATCTTTCCTTATATATTCAAAATATGACACTCAATAATTCAAATGATAGAATGCGACCTCTAGCGCATAAATAAATCTTATAGTCTTTATAAACTATCCAATAGAAAGTTTTTTTTTTTTTTTGTGAATATTTACTTTTTTTTCACGCTTCATTATTCTTGGTAACCTTGTTAATGGTAAAAATCTGGATTAAAATGTTTTCTATATCAAAACTCAATATTCAAACAGTGGATGTGTCTCTGAATATGTATCCTTCATACCAATACTTCAAAGTCTTGTCAATAAACAATCTATGGAAATTATTTAATCCTTTTAAAGCCGATATAAAAAAAAATCTTGTACTAAAAAACAATTTGACCAATAATTAACTCCTAAACAAAAAAACAAATAAGTTTATTGACGGTACAATTTTTTCATATATACCATCATTATGAATTAGTTAGTTTTACATTCATCAATATTTACGGATTATTTATTTTAAATATTTTACATAAAAATTTTCATGGTTTTTGTGAAGTTGACTTTAAATATGAGAACAATGGTACTGCATTTTACAAAGTACTTAATTGGTACCATATAAACTAATGCTGATAACAAAAAACAAATATTATATTGTATTCTCTTGGATATAATTGTAAAAATAGACAGAATGTTGATACTTTTTGTATTTATTGTAGATATTTTCTAGAGAAATGTAAGAATATTAATAGAAAATTCTATTCCATCTAATCATTCACTTTATGTTGAGAATTTAAATGGAAAAATAAAACAAAATCACTTTATAATTTATTTATTGCGTATGGACATACACGTACTATTATTTTTATAAAGGATATTAAAATGCTTATACAAATATGTATTGTTTTTGATGATCTATAAAATTTAACAAGTATTTTACATTCATTACAAGGTGTCATCTTATGATACACCAATACATTTATCTTAAAATAAATGGATTCGGATGTCATACGTTTATCAAAAGAACAAATAGCTGACAAAAAAAAGACGGGTGGTTTAGCAGCAATGAATCAACTCGAATTGAATCAACGTAAAGATAATTCGCATATACTATCAGTATCGTCTAATTGTATTCTTCATGAACAATATATTGGTATGAATTAAATTTTTCGAACAATATTTTGAGTATTTATTAAATATAATGATTTATAACAGTTGTTGTAAAACAAAAAAAAAGAATTATCAGTTTTAGGTCTATTCAGATGAGTTTTAATGTTGGTAAGGTGCACACAATTCAAACTTCGAGTAAAAAATTTTTTTTACCGTTTTTTTTACATTATTTGATAGAGCGAGAGCTGCTGATCACGAAAATCTGCTTTTTAACCATAACAAATGCTTCCTTCCGGTCGAAAAATACGAAATATTCGAAAGGTGTCGTTTTTCGAGAAAAACCACATCTTTTTAAAAATATGCAAAATTTTCTACTTCTTTCATTTTTTCAGCTTCTGGAAATATTTTTTTTAGATTCAGTATCAAAAACTAAGTATAGATACGTTGTTAAATCGACTCTAGATCCAAAACTCAGTTGATGGTGGTGCTTTGAATCGTTTGGAGTGAGATACGTATAGGTCGATTTTGTAAACGTATCTAATTTTTGCACATAACCAATGAAGCCGAATATTTTGTCTCGTTCTATTTACCATACTAACCTCCATCACGTTACGGATCGGTTTTCTTTTCCGTGTAGAAAAAAATCGTTTTTACTAAATTGTGCGCAAAATAGATAGGATTCTGTCCGTATTTCTCAATTTTCTTCATCAAAACTATGTTTTCATGTAATAATACTATCATATTCAGAATGAGCATCAAAAATCGCATCGATCTATGCACATTTCGAAAAATTTCGTTACCTTTCATTTTTTCGTGAGAATTTCAGCCACAGCATCAGTGAAAAATTCGAAAATAACTGTAGTCAACAGAAACGATAAAAGTATACATAGATCGATGTGATTTTTGATGCTGAGTCTGAATATGATAGTATTATTACCTGAAAACATAGTTTTGACGAAGAAAATTGAGAAATACGAACAGAATCCTATCTATTTTGCGCACAATTTAGTAAAAATGATTTTTCTCTACACAGGAAAGAAAACCGATCTGTAACGTGATGGAGGTTGGTATGGTAAATAGAACGAGACAAAATATTCGGCTTCATTGTTTATATGCAAAAACTAGATACGTTTACAAAATCGACCTATACGTATCTCACTCCAAACGATTCAAAGCACCACCACCAGCAGAGTTTTGGATCTAGAATCGATTTAACAACTTATCTATACTTAGTTTTTGATGCTGAATCTGAAAAAAATATTTCCAGCAGCTGAAAAAACGAAAGAAGTAGAAAATTTTGCATATTTTTAAAAAGATGTGTTTTTTTCTCGAAAAACGACACCTTTCGAATATTTCGTATTTTTCGATCGGAAGGAAGCATTTACTATGGCTAAAAAGTAGATTTTCGTGATTAGCAGCTCTCGTTCTATCAAATGATGTAAAAAAAAAATTTTTATTCGAAATTCGCATTGCAGACATCTTACATCAGATGATTTGAGAGAAGTTGATATGAAACGCAGTATTTCAAAATGAAGTTTATATGTTTCTATCTGCATGTAGGATAAACTGAAGTTATCTAGGGTTCTAAAAGAATGTTATTTCTATAAGAATAAATCTCACTTAAATAATTAGTTTAGATTTCTATCTTATTTCTATTGAGAATTAGTTATTTCCACATGACAAAGATTGTATACTTCAACAAAATCGATTAATTTTCTTTTCAATTGAATTATTATAGTAATCAACTATTTCCCCTAGATGAAGAAATTTTTTTTGCAAAACAGAATTTTATTTGTAAAATTATTTTCTTTGTAGCATTGATAAATTTTGAAGAAATAATTTGGTATTGTGAATATTGTTGCAGAAATTAAAGTTCAATTATCATTATGTAATTGCTGCACAAACAAGATTAGTTGAGAATACTTTTTGTTAATAATTGAAACAACAGAAGAAATACTTTTTCGTCGAACTTCTGGTCATCATTATGTTTGAATTGTAATTGAACTAGAAGAAATTGATTTTACTGTTTTTAAGAATGATACAAGTCTGCTACTAATACAATTGCTGTTAACTTTATTTAAAAAAAAAACATAAGATTTTTCTGCGAAGTTTTATTTTTCGATAGAATTCAAGTATTTACTTTTATTATTGTTGCATTTGTGTTTTTTTTTTGTTAAGAATACAGAACAAATATCATTTTTTAAGATAATTCATCAATGATATTTGTTTTTTTGTATAAAATCTATATTTTAGATCTATTTAATTAATTAATTTAATGAATCCTTTGGAAAGTAAAAACGATTCACATACAGAACAATTATCTGCTAAAGTTTCTCGATTAAAAAATGTTAGTTAATATTTAATTAAATTTTATTTATAGAAAATATTTTTTTTATTTTTATTTCTAAGATTGCAATTGATATTGACAATGAAACAAAAGAACACAATCGTTTTCTTCAAGCAATGGTAAGATTTAATTAATTTCAAAATAAAATTCTACTTTTATTATTATTATTATTTTAGCGTTTCGATTTCGATACAGCACGTAGCTTTCTTGGTGGAAGTTCTCGTCATTTAGGTAATGTTATGTCAAGTGGAAAAGGTGATCGACGATTTATGTGTTATGTTATTGGTGGAATTGTGTTCACTTTCCTTTTTCTATATTATGTTGTAAACTCATTCCGAAGTAAGTAAATATAATTTGAGTGAATTATTCATTTGTACATCTATGTTTTTGTTTATTTTCATTGCTTTTCTGTTTTTGGAATGAGTATTGTCACTATCGAAAATTCACTTACACATGTTTCTTCTTATTTAACTATTCACTTGTAAAAATGAGTTTCTTTTTTTTTTTTTTGCATTGTGGAGGCTTTCTTTTTAAAATAAAAATGAATAAACTAACGATGGAACGTTTTCAACTGATCAATCGCTTCCGTATCAAAAGCTACCAAATTATCGGCCATGCTAATTGTATAAAAAATCGGTTTTCGAGGCTAACAAATATTTTGCCAAAATCATTTTTGATCTACTCAGATTATAAAACAATAATCTTTTCTGTTTTCTAAAAAAAAAACGAGTTTTAAGTAAAATAATACTATTCTAAAGATTTTTTGGATTGAAATATTGAGATGCATCTGTTGTATGAATTAAAATGGCTGTGTTTTCTGTAAAACAACGATTTCAAATAGAAAAAATGACTGTTTTCTCGAATATTCAATATGTTCTATAAACTGAACAGATGAAAACTACTAACAAAAAGTTTGTTAGTCTGAAAAATCAAGAGAGAATTTCTTATATTCATATTCAAAATAAGCAATGGTTGATAACATATGCAATCCGTTAGCTTCTAATGAGAAAGCGATTCATCAGTTGAAAACCTTCCTTCCTTAGATAAATTTGATAATATGTAATACATATGTTTATTTGATCTGATTAATCTTGACAATGAAAATCTCTAAGACCTTGTTCTATATTTAATTTAATTCTCATTAATATGATTTATGTTTTCGAAATTATGCGAGATTATATGAATAGCATAAGTTGTTGATAATGGTAATTATCAATTAATAAAAATAATAGAACTAATAATTTTTTATTGTACATGTATAGTTGATTCAAAAAAAATTATTTTTTGTTTTTTGTTTTTAGATAAAATAAGAAAGAATGAAGTTAGTTATACATAATATGCTAACATCGAATATACTTAAAGGAGTGACAAATGGTTTTCCATTAAAAATTAATGCTATGAAAATAGAAAATGTATCCGTGGATTATAATCGAGATTTTATTATTCGTATTCTTCAACGTATTGAATATGATGCTTTACGAGGAGCTGTGATCGATGTAAATTTCTTTTTTTTTTTTTGAGAATAAAATTTATAAGAAAAAAAAAATTTTTTTTTTAGCTTGGTCTAAATGAATTATTACCAAAGACAATATCAGAAACAATTCAACAAGATGATAAATTTCTTAGAAAAATGCATCAAATTTTACTTGAATATGAAATTGAAGAAGGTGAACTTATTTGTTCTGAAACTGGTCGTAAATTTCCAATTTTAAAAGGTATTCCAAATATGTTATTACAAAAAGTTAAAGTATCATGAATTGTTACTTTATTATTGTTAAAAAAAAATACATCTAATCTAGATTTATCTTAATTATTCAAAATGGTAGTTTGTATCCAGAAACAAGTTAAGTTTAATCAAAGTACAAGATGTCTATATTGAATTACTTGAAAAATTAAATTATTTCTTAGTTGGCATTTATAAGACAAAAAAACCATATATGTACTCAAGAGAAATTATATCGATCTTATTACATAATTTTTCTAATAAAAAAAAGATTTGATCTAATGTACTAATGAATAATATTTTCCAATCGAATAATGTATGTTCTATTCTCAGACTTATTTCTTCTTTTTGAAAGTTCTAAGAATCAATACTCAATCATATTTTCGAAATTAATGCAAATCTTATATATTTATTCAAAATACAAGACTTCGAATGATATTTCAAGATGAAATTACAAGTGATACTGGATAACAGATTCTGAACTTGACAAGTACAATTAATGACATTACCGAAAAAC